GGACAGACGAACAAACAACTGTCGGTGTTTAATTTATCATCCCATAAATAAATATACGTAATTTCTCAACCAAAGTCTAGCTAAACACGTGTTGGTCTCTAGAGAATTTTAAAACCACTATAGAAGTTCATGATAATCATGAAATATAGATTGTATTACTATAATATGTAAAACGCTGTCTGCGACGTATATGAAAAGAAAAATCATATAACTCACACAATCTTAAAACTGCAGTATATATATATGTTTGTTAATATAACAATAATTAAAATTAATAACGGATGCGTTTATTTTCAAATCAGCTGTAATGAAAAAATTAATTTGAAAAAGTCTGGGCCCTATTTCATTCTTCCCTTTTGTTTTGTACCCTAAGTATTAGTAGCATTTCTTAGATTTATTGCAACGTTACTAATTCATTAAAACTTAAATAAAATATAAATTTAAAAACTTACGTAGTGCACCTATCAGCCCGACATTTTAGAAGACATTTTGTTACATTCTAGATAATAATGTGACAAAATAAACACAGCACACTTAACATTAATTCAATTCTTATGCAATACGTGGAATATTAATGAAAATTATGCGTTCCAACCCACACCAGTCTGCTGTGTATTTAATTTTGATAATTGCCAAAATGAATGTTGTAGCTGTTGCTTTTGTGAATTTATAATGAATGTTAGTGAAGCTAATATCATTATTCGTTTATTTAAATGAGGATAAATATTGAAATTAACTGGAATAATATTTTAAACAATAAGTATACGTACGTCGTGTATGTGCTATACGGTTTATTGGTAGTTATTATACAGTTATTTTAAAGTAGAAATAAAAATAGCGTGTATTCGAGTACTATAAACATTAAGTTTAAGTTTTATATGTAACTTGCTGTCCCCGCGAACTTCGTTTCTCCTTAATCTGATTTTACTTAGCCTACCTTTTTAGTACCAACATGGAACATTTTGCTATGATACCCCAGAGACTGTTCAGTTTTCTTGAATGAAAACATTTTAGGTTTTTCTGTGAATTTTTCTCTATATAAACCTCAGAGTTCAAGTCGTAGAGGGTAGATGAAAATTAAGGGTTGTATGTTTTGTATGCTGTATCATAAAAAAAATGTTGTTTAAAAATTAAAAATTTTTTTTGGAGCTGGACACCCCGTATCACTTAGCGGTTTGAAAGATAGATTGTAGCTGATTCTTAGACTTACTGAATATGCATACAAAAATTTATAAGAATCGGTCGAGCTGTTTCGCAGGAGTATGGGAACGAACATTGTGACACGATAACTTTATATATAAGAGATATTAGTAGCCAATCTACGACGGAGTGAATGCCTCCAAATTCTTCCATGTGCCTCTCATCTTCCATGTTTCTGGTGAGCATACTCTCTTCTTCCCACTGGGCCATTTATTGTAAGGGTCTTTTTGACCCATCTGTAATATATTTAAGTACCTATATCCGTCAAGATAGATATTTATTTTGTAATTGATGTTATCTATGGATCGAAGAATAAATTATGCAATTTCTAACAGCAAACATAATACGATAAGTGTGTATGAAGCATTGGAATGAAGCGAATACATTTCTATGCCTGCTTCACTGCCCATTTTCAAAGATAAGGGAAGCTTCTGATCGCACATTTTATGAGAAATTAAATCCAAACACGGTGCGTCTGGTACTACACCGACGAGGCATTTCTATAAAAAAAATTTCAACAAAATCCAAAACATATGCATGGATTTATTAAGTAAAACATAAAGATATTGGCGTTGCGACGTAGACTAATAAATAGCGGTGAATTACGGCGTGTAGACAGACATACAAAACGACAACGGCGTTTAAACCGAGCTTTCCTATCGATTCGCGTGTCACTGCGCATCGTCTTATTTTGCATCGAGTTCATTGTTGTATTTTATTGAATTGTTCAAGGCTTTGGGTTTTTATTTTGTTTTATAAATATCAACAGATATCAATGTCACAGAGCAAACAAGTTTTTTTTGCAACACTCTTAATTCTGTTCTCAAAGCGTACAGATAATAAATATAAATATATGTTGTTACTATCCTAACAGTACGAGTTCCAACCTATTAAAAAAATATTAGTACGGTGAAGAAAAACATTTCAGACACAGGACTTATTAATGGAATAATACAACGAAATGTATAAATGGAATAATATAAATCTAAGGATGAGAACCAGCCACGTTATTCCAACTTAGTTAAGTGGAAATTTAATCATTATTTTATTTCATTTTGTTTTACAATATTGCAAAATTCTTGAAAACAGAAGGCAACAACAAACATTTTTTGAAGTTATACTTCATTTGGCGCGTTAGGGAAAAATTATGAGAGTGAATTTTTACGTAGCGCGCGCACGCTGTCACAATAAACCGACACCCTGAAGTTAACATAGTAAACATTTTAAAATAAAAAATGTAACTTTCTATAATTATGAAGAAATATTTTTTATGATATTTAAATAAGCTTTATTTAACTAGATAATGCGTTATAACAACACTTTCAATGTATGAAATATCTTTTTTCTATTGTTAGTGTAATTTTTTCTACAAACGGCGAGGCGATAAGGCGAAAGATGTATAACTTCTAACGCGTGTACATAAGTACACACATATGTTTTTTTAAACTATATATTAAGCTATATTGATAAGTTTATATCATTTCGTGACTAATTCTGGTACTAACTTTATTCTCGGAGATTTGGTCGAAGCTGTAAGCAGAAACGTTATTTTTAAAAGTGATTCAGATCGAATGGCGTGAAGATGAATCAATTAGGGAATTAGTTGGGTAAATAATATTATTCCTGACACTATAATTATTATGAATTAAAGTCTCAACGCGTGCCAAGTGTCGTTATGGGTTGCCTTTAAATGATTCATAGCTGATGCCCTCGACTTTGTCTGGAAATTAGGATTCACTTACATTATCTATATATATAAAAAAAATATGTTGGTTTGTGTACGCTTCAAAAAGTCAAAAAGTTCGAGCTGAAATTTTGGCATGATATATAATCCGCATCAAGGATTGTTTTTATCATTTTTTATTATTTTTTGTTTTTTTATTTTTTCATTTTTTTTCTCACATGTATTGGAAAATTAAACTTATATGAAATGTTTTCTTTGTTTTGTTTCTCATTTATCAATCATTCAATCACAATGTGCCACAGCGAAGCGTGTATTTGAAATTCGCAGTATGTCAGAGCAGTGTTGGCAGTAGATCCCTGGGGTCGTAGGTTCGATCCCCGGCTGTGAACCATTGGACTTTCTTTCTATGTCCGCATTAAACATTCGCTCGAACGGTGAAGGAAAACATCGTGAACAAACCGGAATGCCTTAGACCCAAAAAGTCGACGTGTGGTCGGCACAGGAGGCTGATCACCTACTTGCCTATTAGATTGACAAATGATCATGAAACAGATACAGAATCTGAGGCCCAGAAAAAGGTTGTAGCGCCATTGATTATTTTTTATTATTCTATTGTATATATATACCTACGCATTTAATTGTGCCTTTTTCATATGAAAGCCCTTTGTAACTCAACATGTGCGATTTTAACTGAAGTATTTGAACTTGAAGTTCTAAAACACGAAATGTCAAAATCTCAATTGATTGGCGCTAGAACTGTGTCATAAATATTCGTACATTTTACCATATATACATTCGTATTCGAATAATTGAACTGAAATATACAAATATAACGGAACCAGCTGTCCACTGAAATATTTCCAAACCAATTCGACTTAGGATCCTTCAAGAAAAGCACATATAAATTTTTTTTTATTCCGGCAACGCACTCGCGATTTCTTTGGCATTGAGAGTGTCCATGGGCGGCGGTAACATTTAAATTCGGCTGAGCCGCCTGCCCATTGCCCCCTGTTCTAAAAACAGATTTATTATTACAGTGTCTAAAGCTGTGATACTCGTACCATAAAGGAGATGAGGGTGGAACAGAGTAAATGAGTCATTGATCATGGGACAAGGCATCACGACCAATGAAATAGACACAGAAATGTGCCAGCCCCATGGGGTTCGGGACCTCATAAGGAAAAATATTTTTTATAGTTATTTGTAATTTGTTCTATGAAAAATATTCACTATGCTTGTGCCGAGGGGTCGATGTCCTATGAAGTTGACAGCTTCTCGCAATATTTTCATTCAGTATTCAATATCGTTGCAAAGTTATGGAGGATTTTATTTTAAATCTTATCCCCATAATCTTAAAATAGTGCTTCTCAGTTAAATTGCAGTAAAGCTGGTCCATTTTAAACACTAGTACACACAGTCGCACACTTTTCTTAATTATAGGGAAATACTTTTAGAGGAGGGAAGACCGACTTTATTTAGCAGTAGCTAGTAACAATTTAGTTTTTTCTTTAAAATATTAATGTGTAGTTTGTTTACTGTTTAATTTCAGTTTTTAATCTATTAATGTACTTACGTTTTATGTTTCATATATTTTGTATATCAATGTAATCTGTTTTGGCTTTCTATATTGTTTATCTAGCTGTAAGATTACTTATACATCAATGTAACCATTTGTTTAGGGATAACTGATCAGTTTTTTGTAGTTTATTCGTTAACTAAATTACAAATATTTTCTCTTTAGTTTATTAAGTGTTTATTAACCACTTGACACGTGTTAATTCACGGAGAATTTAAAATCACAAGACCCAAAGCGATACAATAATGTTCTCTGGCGTCTTATCTCTATTGGGACTTATGTAAGCAAGATATATTATAGGGCATACGGCATACCCTTTTTTTTTTTTTTTTGAAAATGCGCTTACGCAGGCCCGCATCAACGATGTCGAGCTTGACGCGGGGACTGTGGGGCTGGGTCTACACTCAAAACCCTCTGCTATTCAGAGGGGTAGCGACACCCCACCCACTAAAAACACCTCAGCCCTTAATATGGGCCCTCGGGGTTCGCTAGGCATTCTACCCAAGGGACCCGGGCTTATATCCGACATAGAGGGCTCATTCAAGACCTGCGGTTCCGGGCCACTCGAGGTCGAGCCCCCAGCCTTGAACTACCGGTCAGTCTACGATCATCCCCAGACCTTTCCCTCAATCGCTCAGCTGTCTCCTTCTGCAGCATTACATGCTCACAGAAGGTAACCATTGCACTCCAGGCCTCCTCACTTCCTAACATAGCTAAAATAATACCCGGTAAAGAGAGGTCCGACCCTATGACCGATACCAGGTCATGACGCTCCCTTGTCCAGGTGACACACTCAGCCACAGTATGCTCCGCCGTGTCATTTGGAGCGCCGCAATGGTGGCACAACGGATGCACCTCCCTTCTAGGCACCTTATGCAGATACCGCCCAAAGCATCCATGGCCAGACAGTACCTGCGAAAGCCGAAACGTCACAGCACCCCAACGCCTATTCACCCAGTCTTTTAAGACTGGGCGAATTGCCCCTATTGTCAATGCACCAGCGCGGGGCGTTGCTAGATCGTCAAACCACCTTTCGAAAAGAATTTCTCTGGCATGACGCCTCATATGCCCCGCTATTTCCCCCCCACGTGACGTTCCCGTTAACTATTACCTCAGCCTTCGCACGGTATAAGGCAGCGATAAGTTCCACCTCCCATTCCCAAGGAGGAGTACCAGCTAACACACAGGCCGCCTCGAACGATACGGTACGGTAGCAGCGAGCTGCCCGAACCGCAATCACTCGTTGCGGCCTCCGTATAAGCATACGGTTCGTCCGCCTGATCAGCGCGTCGTCCCAAATGGGGGCCCCGTACAGGGCCATACTGCGAATGATTCCGCAGTACAGCCGGCGCACGCTCTGGCATGGGCCTCCAAGATTAGGCAAGAGCTTGCCAAGTGCTCCTGCTGCCCTAACAAGTCTCCCCTCGAGAGATTTAAAATGGGGCTCGAAATTCCAGCGACCATCTAGAACAAGACCAAGATACTTCATGGAGGAGGCCACTGAAATCCTAACGCCTTCAACCACCAATGCCGCCCCCGAAGGAGGACCCATCCTCGGGCCATGAAATAGCAGGGCTTCCGTTTTGTCAAGGGACACCCTGAGACCCAGGGCTTGGATCCGACCAACAACCAGCCTAGTACCGGCCATCGCAAGCTGAGCCACCTCCCCAAATGACCCTCCGCTCGCCACGACTAGAGTGTCATCTGCATAGCAGAAGAGGCGCATCCCAGGAAGCAGTGCACCTCGCAGCACCCAATCATAGCTAATATTCCACAGAAACGGTCCCAGAACTGATCCCTGTGGAACCCCGCACAACACCGGATGGCGAACGATTTCACCCTGTCCGTTCACAACTGCCACCTGTCGTCCTTCCAAATAGCTCCCTACTATTTGGCGCAAGTACAGGGGAACCCCGAAAAATACAATTAAAAAAGGCATTAGCAATGTCAAGAGACACTGCCAACGCCCTCCCACCCCGCTCGACTACTCTCTTGGTGTACTGTTTTAGGTCCATGAGAGCATCGATCGTAGAGCGTCCAGCCCGGAAGCCATATTGGGCCTCGTCCAGGTCCGGCCCCACGATCGAGAGGTGACGGCCCAAACGAGAGGCAATAATCCACTCCAACGCCTTACCAGCTTCGTCTAAGAGAATTATGGGCCGGTAAGCTCCAGGGCTGTTCGGCGCACGACCTTCTTTTCGGATGAGACACAATTGGCCTTCCTTCCATGCCGTCGGGAACCGTCCACTACGTAAACATAAGTCAAACAGACCCCGAATGGTTTCCCCCATGTAAGGAAAAGTTACCGCCAGGACCCTAGCATGCAAGCCATCTGGGCCTGGTGCCTTCTTTCTGCTCTTCAGGCGACAAAGTATGGACTCTATTTCGGAGTCAGTCACCTCAGGAGCTTGCTCTCTATCGACGTCCCCATCCACCACCGAGGTCACCATTCTCGGAGGGACGATGTTCGGAGGCAGAGGGAAAAGCCCCGAAATCACCCTATCAAGCAAGGCGGGCTCAAGAGTCTCCGTTAGGGGAGCCCCTGCGCCCTTTAGCCTTTTCCGAGCTGCTTGGTAAGGGCGCCCCCATGGATCACTGTCTAACTCCTTTAAGAACTTTTTATGTGCCTCATTCTTGGCGTCTAAGATGGCCACTTGAAGAACCTTCTTGTGTCTACAGTAAACCAACCGCAACCCCTCTCTGACCTGCGGATCATCACTTCTTCGTCGGCAGCTCCTAAGATAGGCCCGCCTAGCACCACTACATACCCTGCGAAAGTCTTCGATTTCCCGCGTCCACCAGTAGATTGCCTTTCGCTGAGGTGGCGGTCTCCACTTAGGCATTGAGGCGTTGCACACCTCAGTCATGTTCCGTTGGAGTCTGCGGACGCCCTCCTCCACGCATTCAACCGGGGTCGAATCCGCACACCACGCTTTAACAATGGCAACCTCTTCCGCTCGCTCCCGGTTAAGTCGACCAACGGTCCAGCGCGGAAAAGTCCGACGACTGGTCCGTGGCCTCAGAGGTGGCCCTACAGAAGCATTAACGACAAACCTAATGTAGCGGTGATCTGAAAATGTCTCCAATTCCCTGATTACCTCCCATCTAGACAACCTCCATGCGAAGTTTGAGGAGGCAAGCGTGACATCTACCCGTGACACTCCCTGTGGTCGTACACATGTAGGCTCCGTCCCCCTATTAATAAAAAGAAGCCCTAACTCTGCCGCCCACTCCTCCAGAAGCGGCCCCCTGGGATTAACATAAGTGTCACCCCAGGCGGTCGACCTAGCATTTAAGTCCCCCATCAGAATAACTGGCCTGGGCAAGGCCCGCTGGATCGCAAGACCTAAGTCTCCAATAAAGCTTTCGAAATCCCGAAGCGGCTTGTTAGGGAGAAATAAGTGCCCACCACCGTACAAGGTCCCCAATCAACCATGACATACCCAGGCCCCCTTTCTCTAAGGGTAATAGCCATACCCATCGGACTGACAATAACAGCCACCAGCCCCAAAGTGTCTCCCTTCCAGTGGCTCCGCTGGGCCACGTAGTATGGTTCAGAAACAACCGCAACTTTCACTCCCAACTCCACCATGGACTGCAAGAACAAGTCTTGCGCAGCAGCGCAATGGTTGAGGTTCCCTTGTAGGAAGCTGGTGCAACTTTGATCCATATTAATCAGACATTGCACCAGACTCCCCAGGGAGGAACACCTCTGGCGACGGATGCGCCGCAGCCCCAGTAAAACCCCCTTTGCTAACCGGTGGAGGCTTGCAGGCCCGTCCACCCATCTTATGCCCCGCAGGTATTCCAGCCGAAGCACAGACCACGCAGTGTGACTGCAAACCACACTCACCGGCCTTATGCCCAACCTTCCCGCACCTATAACATGCCATTCCTAGGTCCACCTCTGATGTACACAATTCTCTTGTATGCCCCAGTCGCATACATTTAAAACATCTTAGAGGTCGGTCTTCCCGTATTTCTACTCTGGCCGAGCTCCATCCAATAAGAAGCCTCCCTTCGGCTACCTTCTTGGCAGCAGAGATCGGACATAAGATAAAAATGTCCCCCATACCATTGCCACGCCTAAGAATTTGCCCAGGCTTAATTTGGTGAGCAGAGCAACCACCCTTAGCTGCCACGGCTGTCACCACCTCCTCAACGGTTACGCTATCATCAAGGTCTCGGATGTAAAGATCCGCACATTTGACAGGTCTCTCCACCCGAGCCACGTCCGCCAGCACCTCCCGAAGGCACTCCGCAAGGCGGTCGGCCTTTTCCCCCTCTGGGAACCAGGAATCTCTAACATCCGCGCCCCTGTAGCAGTTGTACGCACGCTCACCCTTTCAATGCCCAAACCTGATAAGCTGATGTCCTGCTTGGCTCTGGACAAAAGGGCGGCGTACGTGTGGCCCCTCTCTGCCGCCTCCTTCCGCAACGTTAAAACAACTGCGGCAGTGGTAGGCTCCACGAGCACCCGCGCAGTACTGCGTTCAACCTGCCCATACTTTGCACCCCCAAGACCCTGTTGCCTCAGACCAGGTTGTGCTTGGGATTGTCCTCCAACTGGCAGCTTCAAAGGATCAGGGGGCACGGCCACCACCAGGGGCGTTGCAGAGGACGCCACACCAGATGTCCCACAAGAGGGTTTAGATGCGGACCCCGCCTTTGATTTTTTTCCCTTTCCCTTTTTCCCCGTCACCGTCGACCAACTCTCAGTCACCCCTTCCATAGCAACATTGCCCACCTCATATGTCTCCCTCCGCGCAGCAGACCCCTCGACTCCGCAATACGGCATACCCTAACCTAACCTAACATGACCCGTGAATTACAAGACCTGAATCGGACATATAAAGATAAAGGCTGGTTACTATTGCTTTATATAGACAAACGGTCTCCAACAAGTTTTATTCTAAAGAACCATAAGTCTCTGTCGATATTATTTGAGTTATAAATCGTGTAAGCTGGCTTTATAGTGTCTGTACCACTCGACTCACCTTTGACGAGTCGCTGTCTTCGATGTTTCGAGGACTTGGTCTTGCCTTTGAGGTGATATCTTGTCAAGTGTGTACTTTATAATATGTCTGCTTATTAATATTTCATTGTTAACGGTGATTTAAAGTGCAAATGTGAAACAATTAGGGCCTATCATTTTAAATACCTGCCTAGTTCCAGATATGTCGACACAGTCAAAACGTTTAAAGTTTAATTTTGCACTATAAAGTAGTTAAGAAAAGAGCGTAACAAATCTTAAAAGGCTGGCAACGGACTCGCATTGCTAGTGGGTGGGCGGCAGTATCCCAGTGAACTGCAATAGGCATCTTGTCAACGGTTATGATATCTTTGGTCACAGACGGACGTCATATAATATTATGAAACTACTGTAAAATATGGGAAGCGGTTTCGATTCGGTCACTAGTCATTGACACTAGGAAGGTTCCATTGTTAGCATCTAATCGACTATTCATACTACAGCAGATACTACTTTTTCTATGTATAGTAAATGATATGCTTTGGTATATTCAATGGAGAAATTTTATTTGCAAACTATCTTTACGTGAGAGTTTTAGAGTAATAAAATGACGCAGGTTTAACTAAATTATGGGGTCATAACAGTTAATAGTTTTAAATAGTGTGGGTTGTCGATAAAAGACAATATTGTGTAGTTTGAAAGAAAAATGAGTTTACTGTCAAGGGTACAGCAAGCAAATTAAAATTAGATGATTAAACAAATTCTTTTCTTTGATACAACGACCACACCACAAATATAGCGTCAAACCTGGCTAAGGCTGTATTGGCATTATTGTATACCAGAATAGATAGATAGAGATGATTGTCCATCTCAAAAGAGAAGCTTTGCCCAATTTACTCTAAAAGTTTTTATTAGTTCGTATAGTTTACAGATTTCACCAACGTACTGTATAAGACACCAGTCATACATTTTTTACTGTCCCTCGACGATCAAACATCCATCATCTTCCCATTCATACATCAAAAGTTTATGAGCAATTAATAACTCTAGCACATGGTCGCATTCCCCATGTCATCGCTCATTTGCCCATTACGTTTTTATAAGGACTGCTTCAGTTGGGGAGAAAGGTTATTGCTATTTGTTTAAGTAAAAAAGAGTAATTTTGTACTGCGTCACTAGTTTAATGAAGCATTTGTACTACCGTTTATTTTTTAAAAGATTTTGTGTATTTACGTTCTTTGGAGACATTTCATACCAGCATAACGTTCTTTACAAACATAACCATAAGTTAAATTTGATCTAGTTATAAGCATGTGATTAACAATTCTTTATAAGAGGAGGATATAGTATGTTCCGCTGTTTCGCTCTGCTATCGTTGGCTTTTAGTAATTCGGTCACCATCTGTTTCTGGCGAGAAGCCAAGATTAATCAGGAGCTAATAGCCTATTATGTGTCTTCGTACATGGAAGCCAAGTGCTTAATTTTTATCTGCATACGAGGCACATTATCGTTATAAATTTGTGCAACCCTTAAACACGAATTAGTTAGCTACTCTATTTTTTTATAGGATAGGGGGCTAAACGAGCCTACAGGGCAGTCATCGAAGCCCATGGGCGCTTATTTTAGTGGGTGCATTGCGAGTCTGTAAGAGAGGAGTATGCACTTTTTTTAAACAGTTGGTGGTCGCATCTCCCTGATAAATCCCCTATCGGGAGTCGATGGAAAGGAGTGGCGCAGGGGTTTTTTCCCGTATTTCTTGTCTGTTCTATACCCTTTATTCGAGATCTGGCAGTAAATGTGATTTAAAGACATTCATTTTTTTTGACAATCATAAATGCATAAAAGTCACACGAATAAATGATTTTGATTTAATTTTTTGAACGTAATAAAATGATATCATTAAATGTGTTGACACATTTCATTCCTATCACACAATTAAACTTCAAACAGACACAAATTTTAGTTTAATACTAATTTCCTTAAAAAGCTCCTATCTTTTATGTAATGTATGGAAATCTCGTCCGTATTGCGAATTACCATACATGGTTGAGCCGTTACATGCCGTTTATGAAGCTTGTAAAAGGATAGTTCGAGACCACATCATAAATTCATGCTATTTATGAAAAGAAATACACTTGAGTTTCTTGGCACTTATCGCACCAGTAACATGCTTGTAAACATCAGACGATCGTGTATTCGATTACATCTAGAGAAAAAGCCGCAGAGTTGCGATAGTTGGAGCTGATTACCAATAAATATGATAACACAGTAATATTAAGAATTATTATTAAAATGAAGGTTAAGAATATTGTAAATACTGTTTCTTTTCAATCAAGTACAATTTTATTAACCTACAAAGTAATAATAGAAATTAAAAAAACAACAAATTTAGAAAGTTTTGTCCCTGTGGCACCTTAAACGCTGGCAGAATTCCCTCGCTGTATTGCGATACTTATTCGTTAATTAGTTTTTAAGTTGTAGTAATCTTTTAGACACACCTTACTTAGAGTTGGAGATGCTCCTGAGACCTAATATGTAGTAACACATTACACTCACTTGCACCCACACCCACTCAAATATTCACGCGTGTTACGTGTCACGTAAAAACGTGCTTTTTGTTTTAAGAAAATTGGGAGAAGATATTGTAAACAGTTTAAAACAAATTGTAATTGACAAAACAAAAAAAAATGTTATGGAAATATCTATTAAGTTTGTTATGGAAAAGCTGGGAGCCCTGACATAGGTATTTTTTACTTAAGAGTTCCCAAATATGCAACATTGCTGCCTTATTATAATGGAGAAATACATTTTTATTTATTTGTGTTTTAGTAAATAAATTCGTTTTATTATTTAAAATAATGTATACAATAGTACTATATAGAACTCAAATATAAACTTTAAATACATTAACGGAAGTCCTTACAAAATTATTTTAAGATTTATCGACGTCACCAAAAGCCGATAGTTTTTGAGCCGATAACTTACAAAATTATTTTCTAAGAATATTTGTTCAAATATTGTATAGATACACCTCGGGAATAAAGTGATAATTTCCTAAGTAACCCTGTTAATATTGGAGTGCCTGTTATACTAAACCATGCTCAAAACCTTAATTGTTATCTATGGGGTCCCAAACCTTTAGTTTGACATTACCGTACCAGTTTTTTATGCCGACTGTAGATTGCAGCAGTGACGTCACAGATCAGCAATCCAAATTAGTACCGATATGAGGTTTGCAGCAAAAAGCTTCGCTTTGTCTAAACGTAAGGGCTTAGACATATAAATTAACCGGCTGAAATAATCAGACATTAAACTATGTTTGTAATTATCTAATAAATAAATACGATCATAATTCATAGAACATAATCTAATCAATAAAAATGTATTGCAAAAGTAATCTTAAAACTCCGAGACGGCTGGACCAATGCGAGTATTTTTTTAAATTCATTCTTTGAACTGTGAGAAGGGATTTTATGTAGAGAAAAATTTTAAAAATTTAATAGAGAAACCTAAAAAAGACTCGGAAGATCGGTGCTAAACCAAATCAACACAAAGCGTAAAAATCTTTATATATGTTTGTTTATAAATAAATATGTCTTAAATAGCATTTCTCAAGCAAAATACTCTCAAATCATCACTGCTGTAAATCATTCTAAATGTCATGAACATAATATCATTTGCCTTAATATTGAAACGTTTGTGTTTATTTAAAAAAATATTAGAGCTTAATTTATTTCTACTAAATACAAGAATAAATAATATGATTACTTGTAATTTGTAATACAAGTAATTACACTAATTGAAATTGTTACACGTTTTTAAACAGAGTTATTATAAACGCAGTCTTAGTGCAGGAATGTTAATACCCGTGCTAGGTATTTATTGGAACCTGTCTGATTATTCTGGATAGATAAATTAATTTATTAAGACCACCTCGCAATTATTTCATTACTTATATCTTTTTAGTTAATAGAATTAAAGTGAAAGTTTTAGAATCTTCTCCTTGTTAATATTTTGTTTTTAGTAACCAATCGATGGCTTAGAGGTTACTGGTTCTAGGTTCGATTCTCGCAGACGCATTAACATCGTGGGTTTAGACATGAAAGCTGTTCTTCATCTCGACCTAATTAAATGACTATAATAGTCTCCAGCGATTGAACGCTATGGTATACAAGCCCTACGGATCTTTGGTTTACATATAATGTTGTTTTAAATAGTCAACATATAAAATAACGAACTTCTACAAATACTTTAGCAATATATTGTGAACAGAATAGGTCGCCACCGCAATTCAACTTTAGATGGACTCGTCTAGGCGTCGGCAAGTAATTGTCGGCTAAACGGAGCCAGCTTGCGACGTTTTTGTCTCCAACGCCTTAAATGAACACGTGTGTGACAGCCTATACTTTTACAGAGCTTTTTACTTCTAATATCTAAGCCGCTAGACGTTACTTATTATTTAAGTAATATTCAAGATAAGGTAGTAAGGGGGTACGCTAGGCAATTTCTACGCTTCGGGGCTTTGTAAAGTTCGCACTACACATTTAGATTTTTAAACATTTTCATCATTATTTGGAAAGACAATATTATTCTAGTAATTTTAAAAGGAGTTAGTATGTTTTGATAGGTAAATAATGTGATAATTATATTATATACCTATTTGACTTTAATACTAGTTATAATGACAACGTTGCTTAGATGTCACCAGCGTTTACGTCCCGGGTACAGAATTGGCGCTTTTTTAGGCCAAGAAATATGAGAACAATTAACATATTTATTTTTCCATAGAGCCTACATTCATGAACGTTTGGCCTATTGAATATCGTTGAATGAAGATTTTGTACAATATCTTAATCGTCAAAGTGAACTGTTAGTTACAGTTGAGCGAAAGGCTTACAAAGAAGACATGTTTCCACCGCTTCAGTATCTTTAAATTAATTGGATTAGTCAGGGAAACACTTATAATAGAGGATACATTTCGAATAAAATATATATTTTTATATAATTCTTGTAACTTTATTCTTATAATAAATAACGTTCTTTTATCAAATGCTCACTAAAGAAATTAATAAAAAACATATCTTCTTCATTTTTTTATGTTCGTGATGATGTAGGGGCTTTCAAAGAGTGCGCAACTGTTCGCAAAGGCTGCTTGAATCTTCTAAGCTAATCAATTAGTACTCAATACAGCAAAAAGCCGAGCAATAAATACCAATTAACCAAGCTCGATCTCTGTACGTGATTGTACTACCAACAGTGGTCCATAGCGAGAACGGTCAGGATTAGTCGCGGGTGAGTTTTTGTAGCAATCTGTCGACATGTCGCTACCTTTATAGATGTATGTGTTACTGGGAATTGCTACTACTTTCTTTTAGTAGCTTTATCAAAGGTTTATAACGCTGTATTGTAACCTCGCCTTTTTAGTCACTCTGTTTTTGCTTGCATCATAATTTTCTGCTATAAACAGAGAGCTTTATAAAAAATGCAAGGAATGCTTAATGAAACGCATTTAAAATATTTTCTCAGATAGCTTATGATGGACATAGACTTTCATACACACTTTTGTCCTTATTTTACTAATATTAAAAGATTTAATTAAACATTTGAGATTTTTAAACTAATTTTGGTTCTCTTTGGATGGACCTAGGTTATGGATACAAATCCAAAGATGATAATTAAATATTTGGACAGGTGCCTAGACTAGGAGACTAGAAAACTCTAAAATAATTAAAACTCCACCTGAATATCCCGAAACGTCTATATCTTTAACACAGTAATCAGCACTAATTTAATACTAATTTTCTACTGCTTACGCCTTCACATATTTGTTAGACCGCCTTGACATCACATCACATCAGAAGCAGTGAAGTGTGCGGTGTCAGGCCCACCTATGAATTTGCATATTCAGGCCTCATTATGAGCTGAAACGGGTATAAAACAGCAGTGCAAAATCCTAGGAAGGCACATCTCAATAACCGTGTAATCAACAAACATCCAAGCAACATGAAGGTACTAGTTTTGTTGGTTGTACTGAGCGTAGCAATCGCGGCAGAGGCCCAAGGTTTCTACTGCGGGAGGCGGTTGGCTATAGCTCTGGCTATGCTGTGTGAGGGAAGCGAAGACAAACGTGCGGACTTGTCTATCTATGGATCTTTGGCGCACGAGAGAGCTGGCCATCAAGGGGCCTGGTCCGTCTGGCCTTCTGTGTCTCAACACTGGCTGCACGCAAATCGGGCGCACAGCCTTGGACGCCCCAAAAGACAGGTCGTGATGGAGTGCTGCATGAAGCCCTGCTCGGAAGACGAACTTATGGCCTACTGCTAAGTTAGATTACGATTTTATAATATATGTTATATTTGATTGTTGAATAAATGATATTGTTACATGTACTTTCGCTTTTTCGTAAATAAAATGCATTTTTTATTTACACCATTTTACAATTTATTTTGTATTTAAAATATCACATATTTACCTAAATTCACACTAATACCTACCTGGGTACTCACTTTGTGAAAAGTATATATATAGTATATATATGTTTACACGCTACATTTTGTAATACATAGTTACTATTACTATTTTTGAAAAATAAATTGACTTGATTTATTGATTCTTCATCCCGCATTTGAAAAAAAAAAAACAACTTCTGCATTTTGAATTAGAATTAGAATTTCAAAGAACTGCATCAGCTATGTCAAATTGCCATGCAAAATGTCAAATAATTAATAATTCCGGGCCATAGAGGCACTGTTACTTTTAAAATATTACAACCCTCGCCAAATTACTGTAATTTTTCATGATCAGTCAAATCCACCTCCATGAAACATGTTTTGATGAAAAAGACGCAAATTAGGATAAATAACTAAAGCTTAGTCTACATCACAATCGTAACGTGTAGAGAAAGCCAGGTGGATCACGTCCATTTCACGGTAAAAGCTTTGGAACACATCTAACCCCATACGATAAGAACGGTAAAAACTAAAAGGCACACGAGGGTGGCATTGTTTCGTGCATTTGCGTAATGACAAGTCCAACGAGGAATGCAACATTTTCTAATTTGGTTTTTGCGGTCGTTGACATCTCAAATAAGACATCATTCTGCGTTTTCCTAAAGCTTCTTTAGCGAAATAGTTATATATAAATGATCAATAAAATACAACCAGAGTGCCCAACCCATTGGGGTGTTACATTGTTCGTGATATGTACATCAATAATTATGTTTTAAGATTTTTTTAGAAGGATGCAAACAGGCAGGAGGCTCACCTGATGTTAAGTGATACCGCCGCCCATGGACACTTACATTGCTAGAAGACTCGCAAGTGCGTTGCCGGCCTTTACAGAATTGGTACGCTCTTTTCTTGTAAGATACCCTAAGTCGAAGTGGTTTTATGTAACTGTTGTTGTACAATAATTGCACACATCCGTTACAGGTTCACGATTATTTGTGAAATTTTGTAAAATTACCATCATAATTGATCGAATGAAAAGCTTAAAGCTCTAATTCGGTTCACTACATTAACCAAAATGTACTTTCTGTGTATGTGTTACTCGTAAAGGCCATATTGTACCATTTTTATTAACCTACCATTAAAATGACTCTCAGTATGGTACTATGTTACTAAGGATTTCACCAAATAAGCTTAGCTGCAGAACGAGTCGCCGAGGAACAATATGAAATAAAGCGCGTATTCCCTGATAGGCAATTAACCAGGCCGCAATAATCCAACCCAACTTGCCGTGGGCTAATGTTAGGGATACCTCTAATTACCAAAATACGCTGTATTTGACGTAGGTACCGCCCGGGGTATGTACGTGAACATGGGCTTGTAATGGGAAAGATTTTTTTGGATAACTTGTAACATATAAACTATATTAAGTCAACATTTTCCTTGAGTCTGATACAATTGAAATTGCAGTTTCTCTATGGATAGTAATGATTAAAATATTGCTCATCGCTGATCTATGTTTGACTCCTGTAACCTGCCAATGGACGGTGCTGGTACATTTTTGTTTGGAAAAAATTACGCCTTGTGCCTCAACGACCAATCACGTTCCGTGTGGCTTGATCCCTTGGCGTTGCGTAGAGATGTGGCGTCTCTAATGCCTGCAGCTGAGTTTCATTATCGGAAGTCAAGGAAAAATACAAAATACCATCCGTATCACCTCGACGACCGTCGTTCCAAGTGAGCGTTTTCTAAGGCAGTTTTTGCCGCGCACCACCACTATGTGGAACCAAGTGCCCACTGAAGTATTTCCGAACCAATTCGACTTAGGGTCTTTCTAGAAAAGAGCGTACCAATTCTTGAAAGGCCGCCAACGCACTTTCGAGCCGTCTGGCAATGTGAGTGTCCATGGGTGGCGGTATCACTTAACATCGGGTGAGCCTCCTGTCCGTTTGCCCCCTGTGATATATTAAAAAAACTAAGCTGTATGTTACTTGCTCGAGTTTCATATATAAGGCGAAGAAAAATGGAATGTAATTATAATTTTGTTAAAAAGCGAACAACAATCATGTATAATAATTAAAAGGAACCGAACAATGTAGATAGTATATACTGTTAGCACTATTAATTATTAATATTTAATTTATGACCGTTTATTCCACTAAATCCGTACGAGTTTGAAACTGTAGTTTTATAACCTCAAAGTGTCCGACAAGAAACAAAATGGACGCAGAAATGATAATTACATGACAAGCTATAAACAGCAACGACGCAAAATCATTTACGTCTTAGGATTTTTACCATCTTCAATAGGAATGTCACATTAACTGAGGGAAGGAAATAGTTAAATAGCGATATATCATATTAAAGCGACGTCTGGGAATAGGGGAAGATGTGGTTACTAAATCTAACTTTACATATGTGCTTAGTGTGTGTATAAAGTTTTGAATAAGGCTAGACATTTTGACAGCACGACTGGACAAGAACATACATTTTATTTTAAGCGGAGGGTTAGTTTCGGATAAGGTTTTGGTCCGTAACAGAAACCTAAGTCTTTTGTGACCTAGACTAGAATTTTGTCTTAGTGGACTTTGTTTTGTGGCTTCTGGCGGCTACCACTGACTCAAGAGTTCGGCACCTACCTACCTATCTCCCACTAAATTCGAGTGTATTCATAATATTCAATAATCACCATGGTCCATGGAGTATAGAGGTACCATAGACACGGGATCATTAGTACAATCCCAGACGAGCCACTCGACTAAGGCTCGCTCTACATTGTGTAATTCATTTATACTCTATGCTTTTTGTCTGCACTGGAGGGTTGGCCCTTTTTGCACGACAGTTTAACTTTTATTCAGAAATTACATCTGCTTGCTCTGTTTTGATTAATGCGGTTTTGTTTTTATACAATAGGATTTTTTTTGTTGTTGTTTTTATTTACTACGATTTAAGTATTTCATTAAATCGATTTGTACGCTGCTTGAAGCTGTTTCATTTTACAAAAATCAATTTAATATTATGAAAATAAATTTAAGAACCTAACTCCTAGAGATAGGCTAAAGTTAAAACTTTCCTCCAAATCAAAGTTAACTGTAAATGGTCCGTAAAACTCAATCTATCTACATAACACTTTATCGGCGAAAGTCAGTGTTATTTGATTGCATAGCATTGTTTTCAATTTAAACTTTGTTATTGTTGCCGTATCTAATATCATCAATTCTCACTCACCGATAAAAGAAAAAAGTTTCTTTAACAAAGTCGCGACTTGCGAGCGTACGCTGCCGTAAGCTCGTACAGTCGAAAGCTCCCGCCCCGCGTTTAGTCTGCCGGCGGCCTTCGACCGGCGTGCACGTTGGGTCGTTAGTTATCGCGAGTGAGTGAAGTGAGTGAGCATGTTCATCCGCGTCGTGGCCATCCTCGCCACCGCGGCTTTGGCTCTGTCCGCTGCGCCCCCCGACCCCTGTTACGAAGACGGTCGACCAAGACGCTGCATACCGGATTTTGTTAATGCAGCTTTTGGAAACCCGGTATTAGCATCTTCTATCTGTGGAAAGCGCGGGCCTGAGCGTCTCTGCGATCCACCTGGAGATCAGAACCCAGAAAACGCGTGTCGAGTTTGCGATGCTGCTAGGTCAGATAGACGGCATCCACCGGCTCATTTAACTGATTTGAACAACCCTCACGACGTGACCTGCTGGCGATCTGCGGCACTGACACCGGCATCCTATGATTCGCCACCAGATAACGTTTCTTTGACTCTTTCTTTGGGAAAGAAATATGAACTAACTTACGTCAGTCTTCAGTTTTGTCCCAAAGCTGCGAGACCTGACTCTGTGGCGATTTATAAAAGCGCGGATTACGGAATAACTTGGCAGCCCTTCCAGTTCTACTCGAGTCAGTGTAGAAGGGTATATGGACGGCCCAATAAAGCGACAGTTACCTCGGCAAATGAGCAGGAAGCTAGATGCTCAGATTCTCATAGATTAGGCGAGAATTCTGGTGCAGCTAGATTGGCATTTAGCACTCTGGAGGGTCGTCCGAGCGCTGCCAACTTCGATGTATCACCGGTTTTACAAGACTGGGTGACGGCTACTGATGTCAGAGTCGTTTTCAATAGATTACACATGGTCAACGAGGGTGATGAGGTAGACAACAAGAAGCAGGCGGCGGCGGGTACGCAGCATTACGCAGTTTCGGATTTCGCGGTCGGTGGACGGTGTAAATGTAACGGGCATGCATCCCGATGTATACCTACAAAGGGCGAGGATGGACAGACGATGCAGCTGGCCTGTGACTGCAAGCATAACACGGCAGGACGGGACTGCGAGCGATGTAAGCCCTTCCATTTCGATCGGCCCTGGGGACGCGCTACGGCGAGAGATGCTAACGAATGCAAAGGTTTGTACTCAATTTCTTTGAAAAAAAAATATTGTGAATAAACGTAGCCTTATTATTTGGTTAATTTATTCGCATTAAATTATTTTTAGACAGCATTATTTCTATTGGTAATTTCGTTTATGGCTTATAAAATCTTAGTTAACGTGAGCGATAAAATATGGAATTTGCTGTCGTTATTATCTACGTGTAAGTTTACTTAACAACTATATAGATTAAAATGTTATTCAAGAAGAAATGTTTTATAGAACTTGCTGTTCTTGAAGTTCTGGAATGATGAATGATCCATTTGTGTTATCGTCATTCAAATATACGTATTAATTTATTCGAATCATTAAAAAAATTGATTAAGAAATAATTGTATTATCATTGTTGGTAATAAAATTTTATAGGCTCATAAGTCTCGATAACTCGTATGAGATTTAATGATAAATAAATATTTGCGTTATCATTAAATAAAATATGATTGTATGAACGGATGTTTTAATGACGAGTATAATGGTTCCCTCATAAAACTCACTATAATGGTTGTAACAAAGCCGTAGTAAGGATTGAGTTTAAATTAGCTTCAGTAAAGTATGGAGCTAACAATCGTTATTTATGGTGATTAGGTAAAGTGAAATTGTGTGGTACGCGAGAGATAATTTAAAAATCTAATCATATGCTTCTGCCGTTATGTTGCCGGCTTATGTTGATCGCGTCTTGTAATTCTATGAACCTTATTAACTAGCTATTACAATTTCACCAATATTTGTTTAGTAAGTATTGCGTGAAACAAAAATTCCATGTAAACAAACAATCCTATTTTAAGAAATCCTAGCATAGGCTGGCAGACTTAGGATCATAATCACACAATTTAATGATATATTTAAAACATACAAATATATAGTATTTAAAGTATTAATTATAATTAATTTTATATAATTAATTACAAACACGTTTTAATCACAGATTAAAACCTTAGAATCACGTCAGTAAAAGGAACATCCAGAAAGTTTTCTAGTCATGTTTGGCTTATTTCATTCTAAGCAAAAGGAAGTGTATATCAGTTACTGGATATAATTCTCTTATGTTTTATGTTTAATTATTTTATAAATTTCTTTTAAAAGAAAAAGAATTCCCTTTTTTCGTTTCTATCTTTATAACTAATTCAGTGACGTTTCAAAGACGACTTAAGAACCGAAACCGACAAATGACCGAATGAAATCAGATTTGTAAACTAGGTTTACGAGACGGTTACTATATTCAGCTTCTCGTTTGAATACAAAATCTAAACGGTCTTTTAAGGCTGCACGCCTACGAATAGACCGCCGTTTTAGATGTTCGGAGCCCACACAGACACCGTATAGTAAACATCACTTTGTATCTGCCCTTTATGGAAAAACCTTGGCATTATATGCAAAATGTTTAATAATAAGTATTGCCTTCTTTATCTAAAAAAATAATAATAATCTATTAACATTAAGTGATAAAATCACGTTCGACTTAGGGTCCTTCAAGAAAAGATGGTACTGGCTGTGAGGCAGTCCCCAGGCTTTTTAAACAACTTTTCAACCGCTAGCTAAGCAAAGCAAAAAATAATTGAGTAACCCATGATCACAAAAATTCAAGTCGAAGCATATTCAAAATGTAATCTTAAAGCTTAAACTTACGTGCGGTAGGTACTCAAAATAAAAATATCTCTCTCCTATAAGTCTTAAAATTTTCTGTATCCAATTTGGCAGCATCTGATATCTGGTAACTAGACACAGATAGAAAAAAAAAGAAAACTTTATTATACACAATATACAGGATATTTAGGTAAAGTAAAGTGCACTGGCCCCCACACTAGGATTCCCTGTGTTGTGGGCAGCCAGTCTCTTCCTTTTGGCATGTAAACTGTATTTTACTTTATGCTGAACACAAATTTATATTTAAACTATTTTTGCACAATAAGAATATTTTTGTATCAGCATAGGACAGGTTGACAAGATATTGTTTGAGATTTTGAGTAAGTGTATGTAATGTGAGTTTTGAAATGTTAGTGATAATTTTGTTTTTAAGGAAGTGGTTAAAGATGAAAGAGCCTCGGTAGGAGAAAAAGCGTTGGGCGAAGAAAGTTTTTTAAAGAGATAGCAGTGTAGTTTTATAAAGAGAAAAGTTTTTAATAAAATAAATATAAAAATAACCTGTATTCGATTACAACCTAATCATATTAGTACACGACCTCCGACGGAGTGAGGGCCTCCTCCAAATTCTTCCACTTGTCCTCCTCTCCTTTTCTTAATAAAATAGTTATCGTAATAATATTCATTATGCTTATAAGATTCCAAATGTAATTAAAGAGAAGATGAGCTATTAAAAGCATCTTATCAACCACCATTAACTTAATTGTACCAAAAGATAAGTTGGGCTTTTTATCTAAACGAATTATACTATAACAATGTGCGCCCACGCACGATATGATTTGTGGCTCCAGTTTGTCTATTATCATTAATTTTTTAATGTTTTATACGGGCGAGGTTCGAGCAATTACTGTTTAATGTATTAGAAACAGTATTTCAATAAACATTCAAATGGCACACTTTGACAACCGAAATGGTGACGCGTATAAGTCCGTTTATACTTAAGTCAAAATTACTTGTGGGGTAAAACAGCTGTAGCTTTACCTCAGAGGACTATTTCTTAACCCGTTGGAATAAATCACACGGTGATTCGATCTGGTGAGATAGAAGTGAAGTTTACGAGTTTTTAGCGTCCAAACGCGCTGTTAGACAGGACAATAGAGCGCGTATAGCCCTCATATCAAAATCCTGAGTTTTAATAATAACATAAAACAAATATTTTGGTAGTCAAATATAAACCATCACTTTTATCTACAAACATAAATATTACTTACTAATATAATGCTAAGGAATCATTTTTTAGTATTATATAAAATAAATGTTTATGTAATTATGAGTGTATGAGCAGTGTTGGCTTCAGCATGCGACTCTCATGCCGGTCGTAGGTTCGATTCCCGGCTGTGCTCCAATGGACTTTCTGTCTATATACATATTTTAACATTCGCTGGAACGGTGAAGAAAAACAGCGAGAGGACACCGGATTGACTTAGTCAACAGCGTGTGTCAGGCACAGAAGGCTGATCACCTACTTGCCTATTAGATTGTCAAATGATCATGAAACAAAAAATAGGTTGTAGTGCCACTGGTTATTTTTTTTGTTTTCGCAAATGTGAATCGGTTCCTTATTACAAGTAATGAAACTGAGTCGTAAAAGACACGTAGATAAACATACCTACATGTAATTTAATTTTTGTTGTATATGAAAAACTTTTAACCGAAAGATTTTCCTAATTATTATCCGAAACATGAGCCTTTATTCAAATATCAGACATTTAATGATTTTATTACGAAAATCGCGTTATTCAAATCAAGATGTAGTAATTACGCTGATTTAAGTATCAGGCCATGCAGACCAAAACCGCTCTATATAATGAAAAACTTGTGAAACGATGCTTTAACGTGTGACCTGAAGATTTATTTTATTGGAGTTATGCGTTTTTGTATTATTTTGGAGGTTTTAACTAAATGCTTACGTGTAAGTGCTTAATTTATATCGTGGTAGTTTTATAGCTTTTGTGTATTTAAGCTCGTGGCATCTCGAAATGGTTTCTAAAACCTAAATAAAACCTATTCAATCTCATTTATTCGAACGGTGAAGTAAAAGATCGTGAGAAAACCGGTGCATTAGAGGCAAAAAGTCGACGGCGTGTGTCAAGTACAAAAGACTGATCTCATACTTGCCTATTAGATTAACAAATGATCATGAAACAAATTCAGAAATTCGAGACCCAGACCCAATAAGGTTTTACCGCCACTGATTTATTTTTTTAAAGTTTTTTTATAAGAAAGGCTATTGGCATGCTCAAAATAGGACTCTATTAGTATCTAGTTTTTTTTTTAAATTTTGGGTAGTTATAGATAATCTAGAACTTTGATAATTACAACCAACCATTTCTTGTTACTAATTTGAAACCTTTCGCATGCGTCCGGAGTCTGTATTCAAAGCTTGGGCCTTACGCGAATTCTGACGTCGTGGTGAAGGTGGTTCCATCTTGTTTTTCGAGTATTTCAGAAGCATTAAGCTTTTTTGTTAAGTTTTTAACTGAAATAAGAATATGTTGAGTCATCGCAAAGAATTCACTTAACAACATGAATGGCTAACGATAAATCCATCACCTATCAGTGGAAAGCTGTTTTAAACATTTGGTTTCTTTTAAATTTCATTTCAAGTTTTGTAAAAACTTTTATTTATTGTGAGTATTGGTAACTTTTGTTTGTACGATTAAATAGTATCTATCTAGATGTTTTATATTTATTAAATTATCAAACGATATCAAACAAGAAACTCGGATCTTAAAATTGTTGAGCAGTGTTGGCCTAATGGCTTCAGACTGCGACTCTCACCCCTGAGGTTGTAGATTCGATCTCCGGCTGTGGATTACTGGACTTTTTTTTCTATGTGGACATTTAACATTCGCTCGAACGGCGAACGAAATCATCGTAAAGAAACTGGCTTGCCTTGGACCCAAAAAGTCGACGGCGTGTGACACTGGAGGCTGATCATCTACTGCTTTTTTTAAATTACCAAACTCGCATCTAAAAATTGTTTGTGGATTAGGGTAATAATCATTTTCTTATATCAGATTATATTTAAATGTAGTTTTAGTTAGAAACGATTCGATCTTAGTGGCTGTTGTAGGATTGGTTAGAAAACAAATAAAAAGACTCCTATAGTGGGGGAAAGCATGCCAACGTATTAAGATATGCGTAATATCGCCGTAGTATTCAAGCGCTGACAAACTCAAAACGTTGGCCCTGCAGTCTTGGGTTCGATAGACGTTAAAATATCAAAATATACTCCGTGGGGAAGATATACAACTTCTCTACACACTGAAATCTGTTCATCTCAATATAATAAGTCTCAATATAAAACAGGTAAAACTTCTTGCTTGCTTCTTTTTTCATTAATCTGATTTAAAAAAAAAAAATTACAAAAATAC